TTAAAATGTAATAAACTGTATTAAGTCAGCAGAGCTTTACTAAGCTAAGTGAAAATCCCCTTGGGGCTAGGTTCACACCTAAGCGATTGAGCCGGTGAGCTGTTGTTGCGCGATTTTGCTTTAAAAACAATGCGGTTGTCGCACGGTTTTCAATGCATAGAGATGTCTAAACTGCGCCACAACCACCTGAAAATAGCTCCTGCACCTTTTTGCACGACAGACGATTTCTACTGTGCAATAATTTGCAACGGTGTGAACAGCTTCCATAGACTTGAATGCAAATCTCTGTTTTGTGCGATATCGCACGGCTAAATCCGCGCGATAAATCGTTTAGGTGTGAATCTAGCCTCAAAAGTAAACAACCTATTCGGCGTTAGTAAATCAACCCCATAGGGTGTGCAGCTCAGATCCTTTAAGCTCAGCAATATCCTCATGCAATGTTTGCAGACATAGAGGTTGATTTACTAAAGTTATATAGGTTATTTACTTTGCAAAATAGTTTTCCCTTGGCTTAAAGAATGAGGTGAAGCTCTGCTGACTCATCATCCAATTATGTGCAAGCAAAAATACTGTTTTTTTTATTTTCCTTGCATATGATTGGGTATTCTTTGCTTAATGAATTTTAACCACATTCACAGAGCTAAGGTAAAATTCCCTTTCAAAGTGAAAATTCCCTTGCAAAGTAAACAGTCTATATGCCTTTAGTAAAACAACCCCATTGAGGTGATCCTTACAAAGCTCATGATTTCAAGAACGGTCTGTTATATGCATATCATAGCAGCTAGCTGGGAGACACCAAAGTATTTTCTATTTTAGAATGGATGAAAGGAAGAATCTGTTTTGCTATGCACATGATCTTTCACACACTTTGGTAAATGCAGCTCATTTGTTCTGCACTGAAAGAAAATTGTGTAATTCAAAGCAAATTAAATTTATGTTAGACTTTGACTTGAATACATAACAATAGTCTAAAACATATTTGAATACAAAGACAATGTTGGCTACATCAAAATATTCTACTGTATTATATAATGCTATAGTGTTAGGAAACATAATATAACTAATAATGCAAACATAATTATGTTTTCTTTTTTGACCATGATCTCAGGAATTGTTTTGATGTACAAATAATGAGCAGAGAGGTTGACAAAATATCCATGGACACAGGCATAAAGCAAAGCATCTCAGTAGAAGGTCTCCAGGCACCGCAGTTTATGTATTTATTATCCTGGAGGAAGAAGGCAATTCAGATCATGCAGTTATTACTCACCGCTCTTCCTGTAGAGAATAATTTCTGTCTTAAATTCTCTTTTCTCATCCAGTGCTTTCTGAATCTGGACTTTAAATTGCTCACAGGTCTCCTCGCCATAGAGAAACTTGCAAGCGCAGCTCTTTTGCATCACCTCCGCCCGGGCGAAGCCAGTTAAGTCACAGAACCCATCCGAGCAGTAGACTATGGGGAACAAGTTCAGCACCTGAGCGTTGCCCAACACAAAGTTGCTGTCTAAAATGAGAGGATAACTCAGTCAGTAAAATACTTAAATAAGCATTTATTTACAAGAGACAGATGTATACAAAATTACTTTTACTGTAGTAATAGGACCAATTTGTACCACGGTACACAAACCCCCAGAAACCACAGCTGCCATTGGGCAAGCAATTGGTCTGAGAGAAGTGAGTCCTTTTTACTGACTCCCTTGCAACATTCATTATAAAATAGTCCTAAACCTATTTGAATTGCCAGCTACCTCCTGGAATAGTATCAGACCCAGGTATCATATACCGTTTTTAAGAAGCAGAAGTAAAGATCAAAGTAGGAATGCATAGAGGATCTTACTCAAAGAAAAAGTAAAAATCATGCGAAGAAAGACATGCAAGTCTGGATGAAAATTTTGCAAACTGCATAAACTCCATCTACATTTGTATTCATGATGGAACTAAATATTGAGGGCATTTCAGGGATCAGAAGAGGCTACAATACACTGAACAAAATTAAAAGCTTTTTCTTGTTTCATAAGTGGTAGAAAGTCTGAACCACATTAATGTTAATGCAATTTGAAGTGCATCATATTTTAAACTGGCGTAGTATGACAATCAAGCCCTTCGCATGAAGTGTATCCACAAATTGCCTTGGTACATAATCCTATTTGTTCATGGATAAAAGTGACTGCCTGTATCAATCTCTTTATTATTTGGGATCCATTGAACAATGGCGTGCATATAAAATCCCGCCGCCAATGCGCACAATGGTGATAGTAGGAGCTAAGATCTCTGCTTGAAAAATATTGGCACTAAGTTTGACCATACTAACTACAGCTAAATTTTATTTGGCTTTTCTACAAAATTAATTTAAAAAAAAATGTGATTTACACAAAGTGAATCCAGACATTTTCTGACAATAAGCAGTACATGATCTATGTTTTAAATTTAAAGTATATGTCAGTGCAACAAAAACAAACAAACATTGAGTAGCTATAAGCAATACATGCACTTCCCCATAGTTTATCCTTGTAAAACCAATATAAATTAAATTGATTTGTCAAAAATTAAGTATGTGCCTAACTTTCTGCTTGGACTGACATCCTCTGCTGCACTGAAATCCAGAGTAGCACCCACCCTGTCTCCTGCTTTACAGAACTCTATGTAGCATACATTTATTTCTTTCCCAGCTGCTTTGATTACCAAGAGCTGGATCATTCTCTGTGTGGAGCAAGAGGGCTCTTGGAAGATGTAGTTTTGGGATGTACCTATGTTAATAGAAACTAAGCTCCCAGTAGCTGCCCCTGCAAGAATTCTACAAGCCTGGTGATAGAGTCCCAGGGAATATTAAAAGCTGTTTCTCAATCCAGGAACAAGGTCAAATAAAATAATGATGATGGGACATGCTCTAGATGGGTAAGGGAGGTTTTATGGTTAAAGGAGAACTATGGGGTTAAGGCTTTTCCCCATAGTTCTCCTTAGGGTAACGGGAGGACACAAACCAGCGTCCTCCCGTCACCCTAAGCTCAGTATACCGCGAGCCGCAGCTCGCGGTATACTGAGGCGCCACAGTATACTGAGATGCCGCAGCTGAAGCGGATCCTGAAAATTATGTCTGGATCCGCCCAGCTGCATGAATGACAGCTGGCTCTGCATATCTAGAGGCAGGGCCAGCTGTACCCGCCCCTCCCCCGTCCGATCCGCCAGTCAGCGCTGGGGGATCGGAGTGGGGAGGGGGGAATCCAGCCCCTCCCCTGTCACGGCAGAGAGCTGTGACAGGATCGAGAGATGAGCGAATGCCGGTATGTGTTCACTCACTTCTCGATCTACTGAGCCGACCTGTGACAGTCTCATTGTCACAGGTCGGCTAGAACTATGAGGTGAGTGAAAAGCACTCACCTCATAGTTCTCCTTTAAGTTTGGGTATTGCCTGAGCATACACTTTAAAGGGATCTTCTAGTTAATCTACAAGTGTACTTCTGGTATAGACCACTTCAAAATTATTCTCACAAGAAACAGCAGGATGTCCTCAGTAAGGGTTAAATCGCTAGCCATGACACCAACAGAACCAAGTGCTTGTCCAGCATAAACTCAGCCTTGTCTCAGTTATCAAAATGTCTGTGAAGGTTCTCATTCATCCAAGTCATGGTATATCTGTAAAAAAATAAGTCAAGGCAACTGGACTTGCTGTCATTTTCTTGAAGACTGGTTCTGAATTGAGAAAGCTGGTTGGACAACCAGTGAAACGTCTTCAAGAAAAATACAGCAAGTCCAGTTGCCTTGACTTATTTTTTTACAGATATATCAGTTATCAAAAGATTTTCAGTAGTTCTGTATGTGGCTATTAGTGCTATGCCTGTAACAGGTGAGGTCATTTTTCCAACCATAGTTATTAATGTCCTTGTTACCAATTAGGATTATGTTTTTTATTGGTGCGGCACTACTTCCAATAATAAGGGATGAAGGATTTATAAATCAAATTACTATTTCCTAATACATTGGTCTCACATAGTATGACCCTGCCTCTCCGTGCACATTGATTGACCACTCCCTAAATCTAGTAAAACATAATATGGTTTTTAGAGTGCCAATATATATCTTTAAAGACACCTATCACAAAACAAATTTGGAGGCTCTGTTTGCTGAGATCTCATTCTAAAAATTCTGGTTGCCTGCTGTCATGCTGACTCTTTGGGGTTGATTTACTAACCTTATAAACACGCCACGAACATGTATACACCTCTGTAGTGTGTTCCCTCCCAGCATGATCTATGGGTGGAATCTAAACACCTTTGTAGTGTGTACACACCCAGCAGGTGTGTTGTGCAAAGCCCTGCCCTGAATTGCAAGGTGATGTTGTGTAAATTAGCTCTACATTGTGTTGCTTGCGTTGATGAATGCAGGAATGTAAATGCATGAGCTAACCATTTTTGTCTAAACTGTGAAGCAGCATTATATATGCATCATGTGCATGATTTTTCCATATATGGCATTAGTGGAAACATGCTTATAGAGACCTTTTGGTTGATAAATACGCTTTGCTGTGTAAAAATCACACGCACCTGGTGCTTGCGTGTGTTTAGGTTAGTAAATCACCCCCTTTATGTCACTGACCTAAAGCATGCATGGCAACAAAATAACTAAGGGGGATGAAGGGCCTGAGTTATGAAGATAGATTACAGAAATTACACTTGTTCTCCTTAGGGAAAAGACACCTAAGAGGAGATATGATTGAAGTTTACAAACTCATCAATGGAGACTGCAGTATCGGGAACAAACTGTTTAAACTAAGAACTCTGAAGAGGACACAAGGGCACAACAAGACGTTGGATGCGAAGCAGTACAATCACAGACTGTTTAAAGGTTTTTTTACTGCAGCACAAGGGAAAAAGAGACGCACACTGCAATCCAACAGATAAAACACTTTTAATTCATAAGGCTGAGCATTTCCAGCATACAAAGACTCTCTGCTTAGAAGGTAATGCTCTAATGCATTTCACCCATTTAGGGCTTAATCATAGAGACACTGTGAACCAAGTTAGAGCAGGTGGTCTTCTAGGCAGGGAGTCATGGTAAACTGGAAATGCTCAGCTATATAGATTAAAAGTATATTATCGGTTGGATCATGGCATGATTTCCCTTGAGTTGCTGTGTTGGACTGAGGATGGCTCCCAGTCTGCACTCGTATCTACCAGGGTGCAGGAGGCTTGGCTTCAGATGGAGAAGTGATCCTTTTTTGCACATTTATTGAGGGTTTTTACAGTCAGAGCAGTAAAGATGTGGAATTCCCTTCCACAGTTAGTAGTATCAGCTGAAAGCATTAATAACTTAAAAACACTTAGATGAGTTTCTCAGATGGGAGAATATACAGGGGTATAGCGATTCCTAGAAACATGTACACACACATACACACACAAACGTACGTTGAACTAGATGGACCCGTGTTTTTAATCCCTACCTCCTATGCAACTATGAATGCAGATAAGGACTTCTGACTTTCCTGTTTTGCATACTGTTTCCAGATCTATGACCTGAAAAATACTGAAACAGTAGCTAAATTTCTCTTATGACAGGTTTATTGTGGCGCTCAACTACAGCTAACAATTCTAGAGTTAGGTCAAAGTGACAAACTCTATTTAAACCACCCTCTCCCCCTCAACCCACTCACGTACACCATCGTAACAATTTTCTATTGCTCCCCAGTCACCAAGAAATACCAGGTGCTTCCCAGTATGGGGGGAGTGGAGCAAGTTTCCTGCTCCTGCGATGAAGTGCTTGGGCCTGAGCAGCCAGTCATCAGACTTGAACACTATCAGGTAAGGGGAGATATCATCAACAGGGTGTAAGCTCTGTCAAGGAGCTCACAAAAGGCTAAGACCTCAGAGGAAAAGACTGGTGGGGAATGTGAAAAGGAAGAAGAGGTTTCTTCTCATTTCCTTCTACTTCTCTGGAACAGGAAGTGAAGATAAACCTCCTCAACAGGACACAAACATCATAAAATAATCTGGAAGGGGTTTTAATCCTTCCCTTTTAAACCAGGGTTTTTGGCTATGTATAAACTTTAACTGAGGAATTCCCTCTTGTTAGGGCAAGCGTGATGATGTGCTCCCAGCTGTGAGTACTGATGATCTAACCGCAAGAATGAAATGACACTATCAATCAAATGATCCTAATATGGTACAGTGTTGGACTTCATACAGCCCAGTTGATGCATGCTTACTTCTTGAATGGATGACTTTTAACATGCTATGAATGCTGACATGTGAGTCCACATACAGTGAGTATACCCAATGGGGTCTGATGCTGCAATTCATTAGACTACATTTGAAACCTTTCTGCTAAGTCAATGTGAGGCTGTGGACTTATTGATATATAGAGAGACCAATATACAGCTACTAAATATTTGCTGCTTTTTGCATAAGTCGCACACAGTATTGAAGATAGAAGCATTGCCACTGGGATTTCAGTCTTTATTTGTCTACAAGGTGGCTTGTGAATTCATTAGAGTTGTGCTTTCAGTGAAAA